CACCCCAGCTTCCACCTGCTGGGCTCTGGCGATCCTTCCACCTCAGCCTTCCAAGGAGTTGGAACTACAGGCTTGCCCTACCATGCCCAGCTAATTTTTTTTTTTTAATTGTATAGATGAGGTCTCACCAAGTTGCCCGGGCTGGTCTCAAACCCATGGGCTCAGGCAATCCACTTTCCTCAGCCTCTCAAAAGTGCTGGGATTATAGGCTAAGCCACCGAACCCAGTCTAAGTACATTTCTTATTGTGATTCTTCTTTCCTAATTTTCTAAGGGAAAGCAAACCTTGAATGCTATTTCCTACCTTATTTGTCAACATTCTTATGATTTTTTTCATGCTTTTGTTGTTCTCAGGAAGACCCAGCAAACGCGTCGTGGGCACGATGCAAGGTGGAGACTCCGATGATGATGTGAGTCCCAACCACTCCCTTCAGCCATTCTGTGCTTTCTAGTCTCAGGCTGTCCTCATAGACGATGCTAGCTGAGTAGCTGCTAGCAGTCATTGCTTCATTGTGACAGAGTCAGACCTCCTAAGGAGCTGGACTCTGCTTGCTGATGACTCATTTCTTTTCAGATGAATGTGCTTGCTCTCCTTTTTTCGCCTTCTCACTATTCTTTCCATTCTCGCTTTCCAAAGATGGAAGCAGCACCAGCAATCTTAGGTAAACGCAAGACTTCCAGCTCCAAGAAGCAGGTTGGTTTTCTGTTTCCCTTGTTCATTTGTTGGTGCATATCAGTCCCGAGGGCCTTTCACCAGAAGTGATGCTTCCTCTCTCCTGGGCAAGAAGCCTCTCAAAATAAATTCCACAGTGAAAGTGGAATCACCTAAAGGTCCCCATGCCAAGGAGGAGGCATGAGCACTGATTACTTGGATGTGACTGATTACTCTTGATGTGAGTCAAGAGACAAGAAAAGTGGTTGGAGAGTCTCAGGCCCTTGAACCGTAACCTAGAGATAAAGGGACAGCGCTTAGGGCCAGAGATCAAGACCAGTCCTCGCTTCTGCTCCATTCTGGGAAAAGAACAGGGAAGCAGTGTTCTTATCAGACCCCTGGGCAAGAAGCTAAGACATTAGGCTGCCAGTGCCTTGAGCTACATTGAGTGGGTAACTGACTAGAGAACTTAACCAGAAGGGGAAACCGGAGGTCCTTGATGGCATCAAGTCAGTAGGACTCACTGTCCACACTCAGGCCTTTTTTCTTTGTTGCAGTCCCTGGCAGTTCTGCTCAGCCTGTGCAGCGAATGGTGACCAGACTGAGACGGACCACAGCCTATCTCCATTGGCTGGATGCCACCTGTGTCTGGGGCATGGCACTAGTAGCTGCACAGAGACAGAAACAGGGGCCTTATGTTCTTGTACCAAGATTTGATTGCTAAGTACCCACAGTGTATACTGTTATGGAAATTCACAGGAGGGAGAGGCTACTCAGGTTTGCAGAAAAGGTTTGTTCTTGAATTCATAGAAGATGGTCTGTAAAGAAGTAAAGAGACCAGCTTGAAAATAATGTTTTTTAATAAGGTAGGGCATGGATAGTTCAATTGCTTCTGTCTATTCATCTTTTCCATCTAAGACAAATAGGAAGCATCTGACTTAGGGGCTGGAGATGCTTGAGAAGCACTGTCTGGCCTCTTCTCTCATGGTTTGCTTGCTCACCTCTTGGAACAAATGCATTGTAGAACTTCTCTGTGCCTTGTTATTCCTGGTTTATTTCAAAGATGCTGTGTCCACGCATCATCCCCAGGCACAGGGTTTCCTCCTTCATGTATTCACTCAGTCATTCAACACATATCTATTGAGTGTGTGTCACATACCAGGCACTGTTGTGGATTATGAGGAATACAACAGGGAATAGAAACAAGGCCCCTGCTTCACAATGCTTACATTCCAACAATAACAGTCAAGCAAGTATATCAGGGATCATAGTATTAAGAGAAATAAGCAGGTTCAGGGGACAGCGAGTGACAGGGATGAGGGAGGGGGTGTCGTGTTTCCTGCGAAGTCAGAGAAGTTCTTTCTGATGTGGTAATGTGTGAGCAGAGGCCTGAGTGAATGGACGGAGTGAGCCACGTGAATGTAGGGGGTACCTAGGCATAGGAATGAGGTTCCTGCAGTCAAGGAGCAGAGGTAGCTGGTATGACTGGGATGGAGTGAGCTGAGGATAAGAGGGGTAAGAGAGGCAGCAGGAGCCACACAGAGCTTTGCAGGATGAGATGACAACTCCATGTTTTCTGAGTGTGACAGGAAGGCACTGGAGAATTGTGAACCCAGAAGGTTCCAGAGCTGACTCATGTTTGAGAGAAGCCAGTTAACAGGACTTGTAGTCATGTAGGCCAGAGGTGATGGTGGCTTAGCCTATGGTGTGGCTGCAGAGGTGTTGAGAAGTGGTCAGATTCTGGATATGTTTCTAAAGTCAAAACCATCAGGTTTTGTTAATTGATTGGATACAGGGTGTAAGAGAAAGAGATGCCTAATCATCCTTGTTGTGGTCTAATCAACTGAAAGCATAGAGTTTTCATTTCCTAAAATGGGTCTGACTTGAGGAAGGGGCTTGGAATCTTGGATCGAGAGTTTGGTTTTGGACATAGTGTGAGTGGCCTGTTAGACATCCACATGCTGGTGTTGCAGTCAGTTGAAATTCAAGTCTGGAGTTCAAGGGACAGATCAGGGCAGGAGACTGATTTTGGGACCCATCTATTTTTTAGAGTTTACTTCAGCCACAATAATAGACATGACTGCTTAGGGAGAGAGGGTAGAAAGAGAAGAGAGGAGACCCAAGCCCTGAACTGCCCCTACACTGCAGAGGTCAGGGGGCAGGGGGAGGAAGGGAAGGCTGGGGAGACTGGGCAGGTACTAGCACGGGGGCGCCAGGGGAATGGAGAAGATGGATTCCAAGGAGGAAGGGGTAGTACACATGTCAAGCAAGATGAGGCTGAGAATTACCCGACGAATTTGAATCCATTGAATGTTCAGTCTTCACAAGAACAGTTGTGGGGGTTAGTGGGTGACAGCCTGATTAGAGTATTCGTAAGAGGCAGTGAGAGGGGAACAAGAGGGGACAGCAAGTTCAAAAACTCATCCAGGAGTTTTGCTGTGAGGGGAACAGAGAGATAGGACGGAGTAGCTGGAAAGGAAGATGGGATTATGTATGTACACTGGTGGTCAACCATCCAGACGTCAACCATCCTGGCTTATGTGAGATGCAGGACCTACAGTTTTAAAGTTGGGCTGAGGCCTGCCATTGCTTTGGTTAAGCTCTAGCCCAGCCATGCTTCTCTTTAAACTCTGGCCCCCTTCCCTGTCTGGGGGAGATGGATCCCCCTTTTCTCACTGTCTTCAATCTACTTTATAAATAAACTATATTTTCCAATCTAAAAAATAAATAACGGCTGGGCTCAGTGGTTCAGCCTATAATCCCAGCACTTTGGGAGGCCGAGGCAAGTGGATTGCCTGAGCTCAAGGGTTCGAGACCCACCAGGGCAACTTGGCGAGACCTTGGCGAGACAATAAATAAAAAATTATCCGGGCATAATAGTAAGTGCCTGTAGTTCCAGCTACTTGGAAGGCTGAGACTGAGGGATCATGGGAACCCAGCAAGTTGAGGCTATAGTGGCTGGGAGCATGCCACTGCACTCCAGCCTGGGCAACAGAGAGAGACTCCAACTCAAAAAATAAATAAATAGATAGATTGATACATAAATAAATAAAGCTGGGCTGAATGCCAGGCACAGTGGCTCACATCTGTAATCCCAGCACTTTCAGAGGCCACAGCAGAAGGATTGCTTGAGCCCAGAAGTTCAAGACCAGCCTGGGCAACATAGTGAGACCTCATCTCTAAAAAAAAAAAAATTAAAAATCAACTGGATGTAGTGGCACATGCCTGTAGTCCCAGCTACTTGGGAGGCTGAGGCAGAAGGATCACCGGAGCCCAGGAGGTTGAGACTGTGGGTGAGCTCTTATCGTGCCATTGCACACTAACCTGGGTGGCAATAACAGTGAGACCTCGACTCCAAAAAAAAGCTGGGCTGAGTTGGTCACCCTGGATCTAGATGATGAGGGAGAGGGTATGTCTGTCTCTTTGCTCCTTACACCTATTGCCTGTGTTGCTTTCATCCCCAACCTGCAAAAAGCCAGAATAGGCCTCCATTCCCTCTCTCCAGGACCCTTCTCTCTTTGCTGTCCAGTGGTAGGTCTCTTGGCCCCCAAGAACAAAGCAACATCTGGTGACCCTAGTTCAGATCCAGTCTGCTCCTGGGACATCCATGGGAAAGCCAGTCCCTGCAACATAAGCTCAGATGCACATTGGCATTTGAGGGATACCGGTTAGATGACAGATTCTAGCCAGCAGTATATAAGTGTTGGCCCCATTCTTATGCCTCCCACAACCTGACTGCTTCCCTTGCTTCACAGGGGGAGTACTGCTAGTTATTGTGCTCTTACCCCTTGAGCTACTAGTAAAAAGGTGAGGCAGCGTCTCATATAACAAGACGTTAGTAACAAGATGGAGCCCTGGTTGCATTTGCTGTCTTTTTCCTACAGGACGACTCAGAGGACAGTGAAATTGACATGGAAGATGATGAAGAAGATGATGATGATTTGGAAGACGAGAGCATTGCTCTCTCGCCAGCAAAGCCCATTCGAAGGGTCCAGAAACCTGAACCTCTGGATGAGAGTGACAATGACTTCTGACTTTCTTGCCAAGGCACCCAGGCAGATTAAAACCCCCAAACTTGTAGGTAAATGGGTAATTATAAGGTTAGGAAGGTAACATATTTTGTTCACTTAGTCAGCTGGACTCATTGTAACTGAAGCAATCATTATTTCTGCTTTAGCTGCCTGTGTTTATATTCCACGAAGCTTAAACAACTGAAGCAAGCCCCTGGGATGCTTTTTTGTTTGCTTTATTTATCTTCTAAAATTTGGGAAATGCATGTGTTCTTAATGATTCACATCCATGGGACAAAAACTTGAGAAGAAATAAGACCTAGCACCATGTAAATCTTGGCTGTTTTGTTATGATACATTTCCTCTGAGAGTTTAACAGACCTGGGGCAGGAACATGGCACAGGGACTCATTTTAGGAGTTGTAGGGGAACATTTAGCTGTTAATAACTTGCACAATTTAGAACATTTACTATACATTGGCTTTAATTCTAGCCTTTATTTAATTTGTAGTCTTTTCCTTTCTTCTGAATGCTCACAATTGGAATTGAATTGTGTATTAAATGTAAAATGAATTAACATTTTAATAGCTAAAATTCTATGAAAGAAAGGCAGTTAAGTTAAATGAAACCCAGCTTTCCTTGAAAATAAGGCGATAGAGAAAGGCTCCAAACCTGTACTATTCCATTTTCTCTCAGAAAGTTGGCTTCTTCTGGGAGTCAGATTCTCCTGGATCAAAGCCACCTTCATGTTTCTGCAGCTTGTACTAAGTTTGGAAACTCTGCTGACCCGGGTTAGCCCTTCAGAGATTCCAGACTCTTGTGGTAATGACTGCCTGGGACACTCTCCTTTCCACCAGCTAGCCGTTTTTTAAAGGAGCTCTGTCTTGTCTACAGTGTGGTAGACATTAATCCACAACATGGGATGAAAGCAGGTGTCCTGCATCTTACTACCAGAGGGTTTCGTTAGGGAAGGAGCCAATTAAGGAAAAAGTGCTAGTACAGATTCATGTTTCTGACTTGAAAAACAAACCAGAATTGAATAGGTAGCGTAGCATGAGAAGAATTTCCTTTTTGTGAAATGAGAAGTGGCAGGTAGAGTTGGGTTTTTGCTTTTTTAGAAAATATATTTTAAAAATAGAGTTTTCACTTATGTTACAATGAAAAAGCCAGAAGACTTTCAAAGTTACTTATCTTTTTATAAATGTATGTAATACCATATTTTTATATTATTAAATACGTTTTACTTGGAAGTACAATTATTTTGCTTATTTTCACTCATAGGTTAATTTTTTTTTTTTTTTGAGTTAGAGTCTCACTCCGCCACTCAGGCTGGAGTGCAGTGGCATGCTCACGGCCACCCCAGTGTCAACCTGCTGGGCTCAGGTGATCCTTCCACCTCAGCCTTCCAAGTAACCAGAACTACAGGCGCACGCTACCACACCCAGTTAATTTTTTGACTTATTGTGGAGAAGAGGTCTTGCCAAGTTGCCCACGTGGGTCACGAACCCGTGGGCTCAGGTAATCCTCTCACCTCGGCCTCCCAGAGTGGTGGGATTATAGGCTTGAACCACTGCACCCAGCCCATAGGTTAATATTAAACATGTAAATTTTAGGAGACTATGTGACAATTATTTCTATTATCCTTGCTTTTTTTCCTCCCTCATTCCCTAAATTTTATATATAAGATTAACCTATTTTAAAAGACACTCACCATTCAGGTAAATCACCTGTAACTTGAGACATGCCCTATTATAAATGATAAGCAGAAAGGGAAATCTGTGTGTTGGGAGATATGCTAGCCACCTCAGGTGCCAGGGCTTCTTCTCAGGTGCCATCTTCTTGGATGTTACAGATTTGGTTTACCTGAATCTTACGTGACTTATATTTGGAAAAAAATATATATAAATACCGCCCTGTTTTCCTTATGAGATGCTTCCTTCTAATGGACTTTAACACAGAAGCCCAACCTGAGTTACAGATACACGCAACAGCTGCAAAGGGCATTTCATTGCTTCACCTATATCTAGATCATCCTTCATCTGTCGGTTGACTTAGTGCAAAAGTCTTGCCATAATATAGCACTTCCTTGCTTGACAAGTTTGTGTCAACAAGGAAGTTCCACATATTTGATCACTGTTATTAATGTATTTCAGTCACTGTAACAGATCCAGGAGTCAAATATGTGCAAGTGTCTTATGACCTGGCACTATCTTATTTGGGCCAACCAGCAGAGCAGATCTAAAACCCCAAAGAAAATTATGAGAAGGTCAATGAAAAACTAGCATTTAGGCTAGGCACGTGGCTCAAGCCTATAATTCCAGCACTTTGGGAGGCCAAGGCGAGAGAATTGCCTGAACCCAGTGGTTCAAGACCAACCTGGGCAACTTGGTGAGACCCCATCTCTACCAAAAAAAAAAAGAAAAGAAAAACTATCATTTAGGTCACTCTTACAATTTTTTACTATATAATTAAAGGACCTCTTAAATGCTTTAAAATAGGTGTATTGACAGAAAATACAAAGGAATTTTTCAAATCCTCAATTTTTATTGGTGGTAGCCATCATGAACAAAGTCCAAGGACTTCAATGGGAAATGTGAAAAACTGTCTCTCTTTTAGCTGGGTTAAGAAGAAGAAATACAAGATCTCTTTCATTAGCGTTGACATGCTACTGATAACCAGTATGCCAAACTCCAACAACACCATGTTGTTGACATCATCCATGTCCTTGAGTGATTTTGTAATGAATAAAAAGTGGCAAAACCCTTGAAGAACTCTTTTGTCTCTGTTTACAGAACCTTAGAATTAAAATTTTCATTTACCTTCGCAATTTTCATATAATTTTTCCAGGTGTCTGTAAGGATCATACCTCTAAAACCTTCTTTTCTTCTTGAAAAAAAGAAAGAAGGGTCCCCTCTGTCACCTCTGCCAAACTGATGTCCTTCACTGGCTTGAAATGGCAACTCATGTCACAGTGAGGGATGATTTTAACCAGGTGAGTGAAAAGGGCAGTAATAAAATGTTTTAAATTGTGGGCATATGAAGGCTTTGGGGTATAAATAAGCTAGAACCAGCTTCCTACACACTGAGCTTTCAGGCCTTTTGTCTCCAAGTCCCTCTGTGGCAGCCCCTCCCTTCTTTTCCATGGCAGAGTATCTATCCATCAACCCCTGCCTGTGCCAGGAAAGGTGCTGGCAACCTCCCTTGGCAGCACCTTCCCTTGCTCTGTGAAGGAGACCAGCTTCCACACTGGGTCAGCATCATTCCCAGGTCTCAGGAAGGCACCCCAGCAACCACTCTTTCTGTCCAGAAGCATCTAGCTGAGTCTCTGCCCATACTCCTGCCTGGTCCACCAGGAACTCATTTTGCTCACATTTCAACAGTGCACATGGGAGCGTTTGTCTTGATAGCCTCTGAGATCATCCTGGCACCGGATTCCCCAATATGATTTCCCTGGAGACTAGAAGAGAAGAGTTAGGGCAGGAATCAAAGCCTACAGGTTCTTTAGTAGAACAGATTGTCTCTACAGAAAGTGCAGAACTCTATGAAAACTTTGTGCTCCCAGTATTCCTCTGGTGGACAGGGCTCAGGGTGGCTCCCTCTTAGACCAAGTTTCCCTGTAGAGCTTCTGAAGGACTTAGGGGTCAGCTGGCTCCTCAAATTGAGCAAAAAGGCAGGACCTGACCTGGGAATAGTCCTAGGGTAAGCAGGAAAGGGCAGGTGCTGCTGGGACCCACTCACTTGATGTGCTGGAGCCTGTGGTTTCCAGAAAGTGCTGTGGCAACGCATATCACCCCATCCATCCCCAAGGAATTCTCTTGAAGACTAAGCAGAGGAAAGAGGAGGACACCATGGTGAACCATCAAGGTGGAAGAAAACACCTGGGAAGCAACACTGCATTGTCTTGTGAGGGCTGTAGAGGGGATCAGCAGTTCTGGGGCTAGTTTGTCTACAGGTGTCATAGGAACTACTAGGTGGCAGTTGACCCTTGTAGCCAGGTTGCCCCACCCAAGTGCTATGGAGAATGGAAGACCTTGAATGCAGATGAAAGCAACTTCTGACTTAAGGAGAATAAACCCAATTGCAATGGAAGTGGGAGAACCAGCAGAGAAGTGTGCTGCTCTGAGATGCAGGTAGGTCTCTACAACCACTTACTTGAGTCTTCGGAGACTTGAGTTTACCTTCAAAGCATTGGCCAGGGCTTTGGCTCCGGCCACCCCAATGGCATTTCCTCTTAAGCTGTCAGGAAAAACAGGAAACCTAAGGCAGGGGACAGGCTGAGAGGTGATACTGATACCTCTTCAGGTAGGTGTGGGCTACTTGGTAGAGGAAGCATGGACTTCAGCAGTCAAAGGAGGTTAGGGTGGCTCCTTCCTCCCTAGGCAACAGTGCAGAGTTGCACTCCAGGGAGCAGGATGCATGGAATGGGTGAGGCTGGCCCCAACTAGACGGGTTGTTGAAGCCCTTGTCCTCTTACATCCCAAACAAAATGTGGACTGAGACAGGAGAGGCAACACTATCCTACAGCTTTCCTGTGTCCTCAGCAAGAGCAGGGATGGCATGGACATACCTGAGCCTCCCAGGGCATGAGTCCCCACCCAGGAGTTTGGACCTTCTCATAGAACAAGATCAATGGCCACTGGCCACCCTGGAAGCCCCCTAAGCTGGGCTTCTAGACAAGTTCAGCCTGGGCAAGGCCAACCCATGGAGCAGGCACTTAGGAGGAGAAGGTAGCTGATAGAGACTCCCAGAGAGGAGGCATGAGGTGGGCATGGGAAGCTGGGTACACTCAGTCTGAAGTGAAGAGCACTGAGATGATCTGTGAGTTGCCATGTAAACTGTTTTTTCGCCATATTCCTTTTAAACCAACAACTTGGTTTCTTTGGACAAAAAACTAGCTGGAGACTAGGATACTTACTCGAGAATTTCCAAGGTTCTGTTCACAGCCAGGGCCTCCCCGAGCGCCTGCGCCCCTGGGACACCAATGGAGGCCACCTGGAGGCTGAGCGGGGAGTGGGAGGGCGAGGTCAGTGTGGGCAGGCAGGGCCTGCCTCCCCCACGCCTGCCCCAGGCCCTGCTTCCCTCCACACTCCCCTTCACTTTCACTACCCCTTGAATCAGCACTAAAAGTGAAGAAATAGTTCTGAAAATGCCTGACCAATGATGTGTCCCAATGCTGCATCTCCTACCTAAACTGATGCCTGAGACAGACCTGGATGCTAAGGATACAGAAAATAGAGGCAGTCTCCTGGAAAGGTTGGGGGAGAATGCTCACTGCACCCCTGATTATTAGTTCCTAGATATTTGCTTCCCCAATTGCTGAATAATACTATTAATATTTTCTTTAATAACATTAGGAAAATAAAACACACCTTCCTTGACTTGTAAACACAAATGACGTTTGGCATGAAAGAATGGGCAAGGGACCAGACTCCTGGGCTGCTGGGCACATCTAGGACTTACTAGAGAGCAGTGAGGGCTGTGTTGGCCTTCAGTGCACTGGCTACCGCAGATGCCCCCTCATCCCCGATGGCATTCTCCTGTAGACTGAACACAGAGTGTGACTCCTTGGGGTGCAGGGAGAACTCCAGCAAGGACCTGCTGAGCCCACACCTCCAGATTTAGTTGACTGCACACACCCAGGGTCGCCCTGGGGATAATTGCCCCTCCTGTACAGCCACTGCAGCCCATTGCCTCGCAATTAACATGCAGAGGAGTCTGTGGCCTGCATGAGTCTGACCCATCAGAGACAAACAAGAAAAGAGACACTTGCTTGGATATTACTCTCAACAGGGGCTTGGGACAAAAGTACACTTTTCAAAGCCAACCAGACAAAGCCTTCAATCTCTGAACCACTCTTACTAGTTTAGGGTTTTACATTCTTTTTTTTTTTTAACCCCCTCCAAACTGGAGAAAAACAGCAGACCCTGGAACAGTGAATGATTGAATTTAAAGTAGACATTGACATGTTTTGGGTTTTTTGGGGGTTTTTTCTGAGTTGGAGTCTCACTCTGTTGCCCAGACTGGAGTGCAGTGGCCTCTCCCGGTCACCGCAGCCTTGACCTGCTGGGCTTCGGCGATCCTTCCGCCTCAGCCTTCCGAGTAGCCGGAACTACAGGCGTGCGCTACCACGCCCGGCTAATTTTTTGATTTATTGTAAAGATGAGGTCTCACCAAGTTGCCCAGGCGGGTCTCGAACCTGCGGGCTCAGGCAATCCACTCACCTTGGCCTCCCAAGGCGCCGGATTACAGGCTAAGCCACCAAGCCCAGCTGACATTGACATGTTTAACGGAGCAGTTTGCATTCATTATTTTCAAAAACATTTGAGTGTGTCTTGCGTGTTAGCTCTGCAAGGCGGCAGACATGATGCGGCCTTCTTGGAACTTGGGAAGATGTGATTAAAGGAGCAGGTACAATAGGCCAAGTGCAGGCTGCAGGGAAGACCAGGCAGTGTCTTCTACCCCAGGTGCCACAGAAAGCTGCCCAGTAGAAATAGATGAAAGCTCAAGGGATGAAAAAGGGGAGAGGGCCTGGCACGTATAAGGAGACAGGACAAATCAAGCTGAGTTCCTGGAGTAGTGAGGGATGAGGGTGAGGAGGTGCAAAGGAAGCAGATCTTCAGGGACCTTATAAGCCGCACTGAGGGGCTGCGGGGTTTGAAGGTCACTGGAACCCTGGGTGAAGAGAAGAGCTCCCAGAAGAGAGATGTCGTCCACTCGACAGACCCTGGGCAGCCATTTAAGGATCACACTCAGTACAGGGCCTGAGTCCCATATTGGAGAGATCTCTGGTCAGTACTAGAGAGGACGGACTGATGTGGAGACTGCTGTAGAGATGTGGGTGAGTGTGCTGGTGGCCTAAATGGTGGCTGTGGGAGTAGACGGAAGTGAGTGGTGGCAGGGATATGGAAGGGGGAGTGGTCAGGACTTGGAGATGAAGGGGAGATGGGAGGTGAGGGCAAGCAGATGTTTCTAGCTCACACAGGTGGTTGGTCAGTTGCATTCGTGAGATGGGAAACCAAGAACCAGGATCATGGGAGAGAAAATGCAGGCAGCCTACCCCACCTATGAGATGCCTGAGGGGAGATGCAGAGCAGGCCAGGTTGCATGGTGCTGGGGCTTGGGAGACAGGTCTGGCAGATGGATGTGGGAGTTGTCGGGATTTTGAGGGTCATTGGAGTCCTGGGAGAGGAGGAGAGTTCCCACAAAAGAGACATCATTCAAGGGAAGATGGCACAGGACAGGGCCCCAAGGCACGCAGTGATGAAGAGTCAAACAGGAGAAAACAGTAAGGAGGACAGTCAGAGAGGGGACATCCTGCAGGTGGAAGGAGAAGAAATTGATAGGGTGGAAAACAGATGAGACTCAAAAGGTCAAACCTAGAGTCACCACATGACCCAGCAATTCTGCTCCCAGATGGATCCACCCTAGAGAAATGTCCACATAGAAACTGGCTCAGTGGCTCAGCCTGTAATCCCAGCATTTTGGGAGGCTGAGGCGAGTGGATTGCCTGAGCCTGAGGGTTCGAGACCAGCCTAGGCAACTTGATGAGACCTCGTCTCTACAATAAATAAAAAAATTAGCCGGGCATGGTAGCGTGCGCCTATAGTTCTGGCTACTTGGAAGGTTGAGATGAACAGATAGCTGGAGCCCAGCCAGTTGACGCTGGGGTGGCCATGAGTGTGCCACTGCACTCCAGCCTGGGCAACAGAGTGAAACTCCAACTCACACACACACAAAAAGAAACTGGTACACAAATGTTCATAGCAGCATTATTCATAACAGTCAAAAAGTAAGAACAACCCAGATGTCCATCAATGGACAAATGAACAAACAAAATGTGTGTATCCATGCAATGGGTGATTCCGCCTTAAGAAAGAATAAAGTACTGATACACTCAGCATGGATGACCCTTGAAAATATGACACTACGCCTTGGGAGGCTGAGGTGAGTGGATTGCCTGAGCCCATGGGTTCGAGACCCGCCTGGGCAACTTGGCGAGACCTCATCTCTACAATAAATAAAAAAATTAGCCGGGTGTGGTAGCGCGCGCCTGTACTTCCAGCTACTCGGAAGGCTGAGGCGGAAGGATCGCCGGAGCCCAGCAGGTCGAGGCTGCGGTAGCTGGGAGCGGCCACTGCACTCCAGTCTAGGCAATAGAGTGAGACTCCGACTCAAAAAAAAAAAAAGAAAAGAAAATATGACACTAAATGAAAGACATCAATCCCAAAAGGTCACATGATCCCGTTTATATGCAGTGTCCAGAGTAAGAAAATCCATAGAGACAGTAGATTCGTGGTTGCCAAGGTGAGGGGAGGGGAGAATGGGGAGTGAGTGCTAATGGGGACGGGGGCTCTTTTTGGGTTGATAGAAATGTTCTAAAGCTGGTTGTAGTGATGGTTGCCAAGAGAACTGTATACTTCAATTGTGTGGATCTTATATATGAATATGGAGTCTATCTCAGTAAAGCTGGATATATATCTATATAGATATATAGATATTATATATAGATATTACATATATATATATACAGATGAGGACTAAAAGGTGTCCACTGGCCTTGGGAAGAGAAGGCTGTGTGCCAGGGCCACTGGTCTGAACCCTGGGCCTGGTGAGCCCCAAGTTTTCAGATGCCCCTATCCCTTCCCCTCCCCACAGCCCCTGGGGAGGCTGCACTTACTCTAAGCAGGTCAGGCTCCTATTGAGCTGTAGTGCTTGTCCCAGGGCCTTGGCAGCACCGGCCTGGATGAAGTTCCACTGCAGGCTGGACAGACACAGACACTGTGACCTCGTGGCCCAGGGGCAGAGCCAAAGAGGCTCTGGAGGGTCTGAGGGCAGGGGATGGCATTCCTGCAGAATGTGGCAGAAGTCCCATAATGCTCCTCCGGCCTAGTCTCCGGAGGGCCAATGTGTGCACTCTCTGGTTAGTGGTGGCCATAGGGACAGGCTCAAGTAAAGACTCCTCCAAATGGGTGCCTGCATGAAGCATGGACACCCTGAGGCACAGCTGTGGGCACCACTCCCTAACATTTGTCTGTCTGTGGATCACCTTCGGGGATCAAAACACAGGAGAGGGCACACCCTGCTGGAGGCAAGTGGGCCTGGGGAAGCCCCTGAAACCTCAGGGGGTGCCCCCAAACCAATCTTGGTATACACGTGGTTGGTTTGAGTGTAGCCCTGTGGCCCTGCAGAAAGGACACTGGGGTGGAGGCGGGGGAGCCATCAACTCACTGAAGGGACATGAGGGCACAGTTTTCTCTCATCGCCAGTGCGATGGCCTGGGCACCCTGGTCGTGGAGGAGGTTGGCTGTCAGGCTGGGAGGAAAGCAAGAGGAGCAAGTGAGCAGGGACTGGCCATGAAGCACCCCCCCCACTATCCTTGGTCACTAGGGAGGGGATCCAGACCACTCCTTCCCTGGACTGCCCTGGGCTTGTGCCCACGTTACGGTGTCCAGCTCATGTTTGAAGAGAACTTCTATGTGCCAGGCACATGACCTGGACTGTTGTCCTAAATTCTGACACCCACCCTGTAGGGGGTGTCCCAGGCTATGAGGGGGTTGTCTCAGGCTCAGGTCAGTGGGTTTGATTACAGGTCACATGACCAGGACGTGGTGGGGCAGCCCGGGATGCCCTGCCCAGTGGCAGGGCCCCATGCACACTCCTCAGAGTCCCTTCCCACAAGCTCTCCCAACACCAGGAGGTGCGGCAGGCAGCGCTGAGTTGCCCTCATCCTTGTGTAGTGCGCACCATGAGAGTGGGGCACTTGTAGCAGGGTTGCCACCACACACCAGGTCTCCAGGCCACCCCTCCCCAACCAGCTCCTTCTCCAGCCCTGTGATGTGGCAAGGGTGGGAGGGCCCAGCCCATCACGATGGTGGCCATCAGGCCCCGGCTCTGTGTGAGTGAGGCCAAGCATAAGTGGTCTTAGGAAGCACCGTCCTCCACCGCATACTAACTCCAAGTTCTTCAGGGTGCTGTTGGTGCAGAGAGCATGAGCGACAGCCTGGGCTCCCTCGGGACTGATGGAGTTTTCTCGAAGGCTAAGGAAAGAGAAGACCCTGAGTTTCTGATCAGGTAGATGAGGCCTCTGGCAGAGACAAGCCCAGGTGTTGAGGCTTCTCAAAGTCCAAGAAATCTCAGGTGCGACCTGGGCCTCCTGAGCAGTCTGGGCTCCGGCGAGCCAGGGCCAATCTGGGCTCCTGCACAGGACCATCAGCAGTACAGGAAGAGGACGGGGCGCTAGGACCTGAGAAGTGCAAGGGGGGGCACCTGAAGAGCTTGCCTCTAGGAAGGGAGTGGCAAGACAGGCCACTGTGGGCTGCAGTTGTCCCCTGCTCACTCCTCCCCGTTTCCCACAGAGAGAGCAGGAAGGGTGCCAAAGCTCGCCCCGCCATAACAGGCTTCCCAGCACCCAAGTCCCTGCAGACCCCCTGGTCCAAGGGACGCCGTGGTTGGAAAGGATGGCCAGGACTTACTTGAGGCTGAAGATGGTCTGGTTGGCGCAGAGGGCCCCCATCAGTGCTGCCACTCCTGCGTCACTGATGGAATTACTTTGCAAGCTGCAGACAGAGGACAGGGAGCCCTGGGTGTGGCTGTCCCAAGACCCAGAGAGAGCCACCTGGTGCCACCTGGGACCGCAGGCACTGAGTTCAAAAGGGAGCTGGGGACCCAGGAGCCACCCCACACTGCTCTTCTTCTCATCCCTTTCCTCTCCTATCCCCCCACCATCTAGCCCCTGCCAGGCGGGTTTAACCCAACAAACCCCAAAGTTTAGAAGCCACCTTGATGTGGGTGGCTCCAAACGGCCTCGGGTAGGGTATGCTGGGTCTGCAGCCCCCAGAAAGAGTGACCCAGCTGTCTCCCCAGTGTGGGACAGCACCAAGCTCCCTGCCCCCCACCAAGGTCGCTGTGGCCAACTTCAGTCACCCACACTGGCTTCTCAAGGGCACTCAGAGCTTGTCATCCTGAAAACGCCATAACCAACCCCAACCCCTACTGTCCAGGGAGATGGAGTTGGTGGTGGAGTGGGACAAGGAATGAGCATGGAGAGGAAAGACCGAGATCAGAGTATGCCCAGGGCTGGTGTCAGTAGGGTGCTTGCAGGGAGGTGGCCCTGGCAGGCAGCCTGTTCCAGGAATGCCAGTTCACCGTCTGCTGGAGAGGGAGCCTAGGGGAAACCACCACCCCAGAGGGCAGTCAGGCAGACTCACTCCAGACTCTCCAGGCCTTGGTTCACCTTCAGGGCCTCTGCCAGGGCCTTGGCGCCTCTGTCACCAAAGCTGTTACTAGAGAGCCTGTAAGAGACAGGATATGGATGAGCCAGCCTCCTGGAGTAGCTGGGTGGGGCAAGGCCTGGGGATCAGGGTACAGGGAAGCCCTCAGGGGAGGGCTGGCTCTGTTGTCTCAAGGGTGCCCAGTGCACAACTTGTTCTGAGGCCTGCTGACCAGTAGTCTCTGCAACTAACCACTTGCTTCTATAAAAGATCAAGGTAGCAAAGTCCACCTTGATTTCTGGCAAGGGTGGGGATGGGGGTGGTGCACAGTCGAACCTTTAGTGAGAAGTATTTGGAGTACTTTATGTGAAGATGACCAGGAAATGCTGTTTTCTTCTGCCAATGGGGAAGGCACTGAGTGTGAACTAGAGAAGGTTGGGGCTCATCCAGTCCTGAGAATCTGGGTCTCCATTCTCCGGGTTCAATGCTTTGGAGTCCAAAGCCAGCTAACTCGCACCCACACGTCCATCCATCCATCCATCTATCCATTCACTCATCAATCCCTTTACTTGCCCATCTATCTCCACTCATTTACCCATCCATCCGCTCACCCATCAATCTATTTACTCATTCATCCATCCATTCATTTATTCATCCATCTACTCACCCACTCATTCACCCATTGTCAGAGAAAGCTGTCAGAGACCGGCTCCGACCTGAGAGGGGTAGACCCGCACCGGAGAGTCAGGAAGCGGCGAGAAGAAACCACTCGGAGGCAGTTCTTCTGGACTCAGTCCTGATCAGACTGATCCCAGAAGGACTGCCTCCGAGTGGTTTCTTCTCGCCATTTCCTGACTCTCCGGTGCGGGTCTACCCCTCTCAGGTCGTAGCCGGTCTCTGACAGCTTTGGCGCCCAAACAGGGACCTGAAATCGGTAGGTTGTATATACTAATTGCATGTTCATTTCGTTTCAGGAACGGACCTTGCCTTAGGGTGCTGCAGGCCCCCTGTGAGTGGGTGCGGGTTGAGAAGGCAAGCAGGTATTTTCAGAACTTTTGAGATGTTGTCATGCCTCTCTTATAGAGAAGTTGAGAAGTAATCATGTCAGAATTTGAAAAGTTGCTGTACCTCCCTAACTGAGTAGTTGAAAAAGAGTGTTGTAGATTGTTGTTTTTTGTGAATTGTTGTCTTTTCAGGGTTATAATGGGGAACTGTGGCTCCAAAGAAAGGAAAGCCTACATTAGAATTATGTCCAAAGCTTTAAAACATAAAGGGATAAAGGTAAGTAAGGATAAACTAAATTCTTTTTTGGATTTTGTTCAGAAGGTTAATCCCTGATTCCCTGGAGCAGGTCCAACTCCCCTCAGGTCGGGCTGGACCCCGACAACCCATCAGTTTATCCATCCACTCACCCATCAATCTATTTACTCATTCATCCATCCATTCATTTATTCATCCATCTACTCACCCACTCATTCACCCATCAGTTGATCCATCCACTCACCCATCAATCCATCCATTTACTCACCCATCTATTCACCCATTCATTCATTCATCCATCCATTCATTTATTCACCCATCTACTCACCCACTCATTCATCCATCAGTTGATCCATCCACTCACCCATCAGTCCATCCACTTACTCACCCATCTGTTCACCCATTCATTCACCCATTCATTCACTCATCCATCTATCATCCATCCATCCATCCCTCCCCATGGTCACAAATATTTATGATGTGTCTGGCATTGTGCTGGACACTGAGAATACCAATTTGGCCCTTCTGCATTTCTTACATGAGCTCCTTCAGACTCCGGTTCTGCTTCAGGGCATCTGCCATCCACTGGGCTCCCATGGACCCGATGGTGTTCTTCTGTAGGCTATCAAAGAGGGGTCTTTCAACAAAGCTGGCCACAGCCATTCCTAGGCTAGAGACAGATCAAGTTCAAGGTCAGAGGTCAGAGACAACTAGGGTGCCCTCTCCATTTATTGTAGCAGATGGGGAGGGGTCTCCAGGAAGGGTCTTTGGATTGTTGCCACAGTGATGCTAACAGACTGACTGTATTACATGGGAGAGTCAGAGATAAGGGTAGCCGGGACCTCCCTTACAAGGGGTTAGAAAGCAAAAGTCAGCAGGTGCTGTAATACCCAGCAAGCTCCCAGGTGGGGACTTCCATGGGCAAGTCCTGCTGGCCCTCACTCGACAGTCTGCCTCCCATGCAGACCAGCCAGCAGCCTGCCTCCACTGTGAGAAACCTCCCTCAGGAGATCCTCCACTCAGGTTCCTCCTCTCAGAAAGCTACTTCCTCTTATACTAAATCTGGTGATGGCACAAGAGAAACCCTGTTCTCATTCTAGAAGAACCTCTCCTGTGGGAGGCTAAATACAATTAAAAGACACCCCCCACACACACCCACCTTTTCTTGGGGTATTTCCTGGAGAAAACTTGAGACTGCAAATCCTCTCTCTGTCCCTTTGAGATGTAAATCTTTCTAAGAGCAAAGTCAGCTTTTTGCCAGCTTTACAAAAGGAATAGCTTTTGGGAGGGACTTGGCGCCATCCCTCAGAAATGTAAACAAGGAAGATAGAATCCCTAGCTCCCTGCCTTTGTGGAAGTTAGTCTAGGCACCTGGCTGGAGCTTACATGTCTGCATGTCATAAAGACCTGACAAGCTTTACTTTTTCTTTGGATATAAACGATTAGGGAATACAGATGCCATCCCAATTATTAGGTGAATTTAGGATGAACTGTGTATGGAGAATAGTGCTGCCAGTATCTGTTGCTTAAAGACAAGTTGTCCTTTATTTTGAGAACATGCATGGGATAGGCTACGGAAAGGGGTGAGACTTCTTTCTGTCTTTGCAACCTCTTTGGCAGCTTGTCTGTGATGCACATTGCAGTCAGCTTTGTACTTGTTCAATAATAAAGCTGTTGTGTTCTTTCCTACATTTGTGGAGAGGACTCTCTGGGTTGGCAGGAGGTTTTATTTTATCTATCTATCTATCTATTTATTTATTTTTGAGTTGGAGTCTCACTGTTGCCCAGGCTAGAGTGCAATGGCATGCTCACAGCCACTGCAGCCTCAACCTGCTGGGCTCAGGTAATCCTTCTGCCTCAGCCTTCCAAGTAGCTGGAAGTACAGGTGCGCGCCATCACACCCTGCTAATTTTTCAATTTATTGTAGAGATGAGGTCTCGCCAAGTTTCCTGGGCTGGTCTCGAATCCTGGGCTCAGAAAATCCTCTCACCTCAGCCTCTCAAAGTGCTGGAGTTACAGGCTTGAGCCACCACACCCAGCCAGGAGGTTTTATTTTTAACTCTTTCTCCAATACCCATTCTCTGGAAGAGCAGCAGGCATCAAGTTTTCCAGGGGCCATCCAGGTGGATCAGAAGGCCTCAGGGCCTCTCCCCATCCATTCCTCCTTGAAGGAAACAGGCAGAAAGACCCTTGGAGGAGGAGAGAGGGGAGGGAAGGGGAGGAGACAGGAAGAGAGGAGAGGAGAGAGGAGGCATGCCCACTCACTGCAGGATGGAGAGGGTCCGGTTGGAGGCCAACGCCTCAGCCATAGACCTGGCACCGTCATCCCTGATCGTGTTGCCCTGGAGGCTGTGGAGGCAAGAAGGATGCATCACTGATTGAGCAGAAGAAAGCACCCAGGGACAGCCTGAACTCTCACTGCAATGAGGTGCCTCTTTAGAGCAAGATGCCCCAGATTCACCAAGGCCCAGGGTGGGGGCAGCAGCTGACGTCAGTGAGGAGAAGTTCTGGTCACTACGTACCCTCACTCCCCACAACACAGGTAAAACCACTGGCCTTTTTCACCATTGCTCAGGGTTTAGTTTTTTCCTCTGAGCCTCTAAGCACTTGCCTGCCAACTGGGAACAAGATGCCATGCTCTCTGTATAACGATAACAAGGTCATCAATAGTCCTTCTTACAGCTAAAAGACATGGTACCCAAGTGTTGACAAGGACCTGGAGAAACTGGAACCTCACACTGCTGGTGGGAATGTAAAATGGTCCAGTCTCTATGGAAAACAGGCTGGCGGTTCCTCAGAAGGTTATCTCATAGAATTCCCATGTGACCCAGTCGTTCCACTCCGAGGTATATACTCATGAGAATTAAAGACAGGCACTCAAATATGTGTACACCACTGTTCAGAGCAGTATTATTCATATAGCCAAAAGGTGCAAACAACCCACATGTCCACCAGCAAGTGAATGGATGAATAATTTGTGGTCGCTCCATCCAGTGGACTATTAGTCATAAAACGGAATGAAGCACTGATATGCTACAACATGAATGAACGTTGAAAACATTATGGTAAATGAAGAAAGACAGACACAAAAGGCCACATATTGTGTGATTCCATTTGTATTAAATATCCAGAATAGGCAAATCCACAGAGAGAGATGGGAAGCAGATTGGTGGTTGCCAGAGGCTGGGGGAGAAGGGAGAATAGGAAGTGGGGAGGGGAAAGGAATGTTTGGTCTCCTTTAGGAGTGATGAAACGATTTTAGAACTAGATAGAAGTGACAGTCTCACAATATTGTGAATGTACTAAATGCCACTGAGCTGCATAATTTTTTTTTTTTAAGTTGGAGTCTGTCACTCAGTCTGGAGTGCAGTGGCACAATCACGGCCACCACAGCCTCAACCTGCTGAGCTCAGGCGATCTTTCTGCTTCAGCCTTCCGCATAGCTGGGAGTACAGATACATGCCACCACACCCAACAAATGTTTTTTAAAGTTTTATTGTAGAAATGAGGTCTTGCCATGTTGCCCAGGTTGGTCTTGAACTCTGGGCTCAGACAATCCTCTTGCTTGGTCTCCCAAAGTGCTGGGATTACAGGCATGAGCCACCCCACCCGTGCTGAACTGTACACTTTAAGTGGTAAGTTTTATGTTATGTAAATTTTACCTTAATACAAAATTTTAAAATAGCAATAACAACAAAAAACAGTATAGAACAGCAGTACCCACTCAGGTAAGGATGGACACAACTACAGGCTCCTAAATTGGACAGAGCAAACTGCACCAAGCCATGAGCACCTTTGTAAGGTGAGCTTTTTAGTGTCCTGGAAAACACCTCAGAGGAAAAATTTTTTTTTTGAGTCGGAGTCTCACTCAGTCGCCCAGGCTGGAGTGCAGTAGCACACTCACAGCCACTGCAGCCTCAACCTGCTGGGCTCAGGCGATCCTTCTGCTTCAGCCTTCCAAGTAGCTGGAACTATAGGCATGTGCCACCACACCCAGCTAATTTTTTGATTTATTGTAGAGATGGGGTCTCACCAAGTTGCCCAGGCAGGTCTCGAACCCATGGACTCAGGCAATCCTCTCACCTCTGCCTCCCAAAGTGCTGGGATTATAGGCAAGAACCACCATGCCCAAGCCAGGGAAAAATTTTTGACACCATGGCTTTAGGGATTTCCCCCTTCAGTGGAGGACAGGAGTGTTTCCTAACAGATGGTTTTTGCCCTTCCATCACTGCATACACCTTCCCCACTGCTCCTCAATTCCCTGCTCAGGCCACATGCATAAGATCAAAGACTAGGGAAGAGCTGGAACTTGGAAACTTTCTTAGGACATGAGAGTCCTGGGACCCAGCAGGGTGGGAGCTGGTATCCTATGCCCACCATTTTTAATCACCTCCCACTTCATAGGTGGCACCTGAGGAGAGAATTATCTGGGCGCTCTACTAGTGGCTGCAGAACAAGGAACAGGTGATACCTACCTCAGAGAGGTCAGAGTGCGGTTAATCTTCAGAGCGTCTGCCAGTGCCTTGGCACCTTGTGGTCCAATGGAGTTACTACGGAGGCTGGTAGAAGGAAGAGAAAGAACACTTCTCTTACAGCTGACTGCCAGGGCAGGAAGGGGGAACAGAAACTACACTGACATTTAAATCTGTGATTCTCAAAGGGAATGTGTCAGGGTTCAGGATTTCACATTTAGTGGAACTAGGGCAGAGATCCTTATTTAGGTGAATAAGGAAGCAATTTCCCAAGATACCCTCATGTGACGGGGAAAAGAAAGCAAGCCCTGATGGACTAGTGGGTTTGGGTCAAGTGTGAGGATGAGGAGAATGAGAGCCCCAGATGCTGGACCAACAGTCTGGTGCTTCTTTGTAGGGGGCTCAGCAGCTGGGAGCCATGGCTCTGCTCAGCTGTCCTTCCAACCCACTGGGAAAGCATGTGTGCCAGAGTGTGGCCTCCCTGCGTCTTACTCCCACAGGAGCCCAAAGACCCTGGGACCAGCTTCAAATGAAATATGGGAATCATGTCCAGATGCCACCCAGGGGCTGAATCTGGGGAATCAAGGAAGGATGGATAAGACCCCAGTCATTTCAAAGAAGGGGAGGGAATTTCACAAGACAGTGCACAACTCTCCTGGTTCCAGTGGCAAAAGTGTGGTCTTTGGTGTCCTACTTACTCCAGAGTGCTGAGGCTTCTGTTGACCAGGAGGGATCTGGCCAGAGCTTTGGCCCCTTTGTTACTGATCTGGTTCTCAGCCAAGCTGCCCAAGGAAAGAGAGAGGAGTGGTTATTTCAGGCTCTAAACCTCACTACCTCTTTCTCAAAACTACACCCTAGACCCCAGCATCATCAGGGCCTGGGCACAGGTGCAAAGGAGGTGAGTTCGGGAGCAGAATGCCCAGCACAAGAAAGCCCCGGATCCTATGTATGGTAGGAAGAGAAAGAACAGATGTTCTTTCTTGAGGACTGATGTTAGCCCTGGTAAGGGGTTCCAGGGAAAAGTTTGTCCAGAATCTAGCACAACAGCATCTGCACAAACTGCACAGCAGAGAACATGGGCGGCTATGGAAGCCTACTATGCAGACTCCAGCCTGGGCAACAGAGTGAGACTCCAACTCAAAAAAGAAAAAAAAATTTCAGGAAGTTTGCGAACTGGGGGTGCTTGAAATTGGCCATGGTGGGAGTATTGACACCATGGACACTGGCAAACACTACAAATCCATTTGTGTGTTTTTTGTTTTTTTCCTGAGAGCCAAGTTGGCAGAGTACCCCTGGCTGGGGTCTGCAGTCTCGACCTACTAGGTTCAGGTGATCCTTCTGCCTCAGCCTTCCAAGTAGCTGGAACTACAGGCACTACACCACCACGCCCGGCTAATTTTTGGTTTATTGTAGAGATGAGGTCTCTCTCCAGGTTGCCCAGGCTGGCCTCGAACCCATGGGCTCAGGCAATTCTCTCATCTTGATCCCCCAAAGTGCTGGGATTATAGGCGTGAGCCACCATGCCCAACCCTTCCTGAAAATTTAACAATCAGCTTCCACAAACTGGTTCAAACTAGATCCAGTACACAACTGATCCTAGCTTCTTCTCTAGTGCAAGATGGAAAATGATGCAGTGGTTACAGAACTATGTTTATTTTTTTTAGTGACAAGGTCTTGCTTTATCACCCAGGCTGGAATGCAGTGGCATGATCATAGGTCACTGCAGCCTTGAGCCCCTGGACCCAAGCGATCCTCCTACCTCAGCCTCCCAAGTAGCTGGGACTACAGGTGCATGCCACTGCACCCAGCTCATTTTTATTTTTATTTTGCAGAGACGGGGGTCTAACTTTGTTGCCCAGGCTGTTCTCAAACTCCTGGCCTTAAGCGATTCTCCTGCCTCAGCCTCCCAAAGTGCTGGGATTATAGATGGGAGCCATCACACCAGGCCAAAAATAAACTTTAAAGTAAAAAAAAAAAATCTGTATCTGCCTTGAAAGGGTGATTCCAGGAGTATGCTGGTGGATCAACTTAATGCTGCTTCATGTACCCAATTTCAGAGATGGTAGCTGTTGAGTTACTTTAAGTTTGTGGGCATTTAGCTCCATGGGATTTAGTTAATCAATTAGACTCCCCAGATTGGTGCTTTTCAAGTGGCATTTCCAAGGAATCCTTGAAAAAACTCCAGGGCCAACAGGAGAAGAGAGAGAGCCACCTGGGCTGGGCTCTGGGCCCCACATCCCTGCATCCATCTTTCTTCCTTTCTTTCTCTCTTTCTCTCTCTCTCTCTCTCTCTCTCTCTCTCTCTCTCTCTCTCTTTCCTTTCTTTCTTTCTGAGTTGGAGTCTCTTCTGTCACCCAGGCTGGAGTGCAGTAACACGCTCATGGCTACTGCAGCCTCCACCTGCAGGGCTCAGATGATCCTTCTGCCTCAGCCTTCCAAGCAGCTGGAACTACAGGCATGCATCATCACACTCGGGTAATTTCTTTTATGTATTGTAGAGACGAGGTCTCACTTTGTTGCTCAGGCTGGTCTCGACCCCCTGAGCTCAGGCAATCCTCTCGCCTCTGCCTCCCAAAGTGCTGGGATTACAGGCATGAGCCACTGTGCCCGACTTCCCACGTCCTTCAAGCCCGGCAACTCCCTTCTGTCTGTTTCACTTATTAGGGTTCTGCCTTATATATTATTTTATTCTTTTTTGTAGAGACAGTATCTTGCTATGTTGCTCAGGCTGGTTCCAACTTTGGCCTCAAGCGATCCTCTTGCCTTGGCCTCCCAAAGTGCTGAGATTACAGGCCTGAGCCACCATGCCTGGCCCTAATATGTAACTTTTAAAACAGGTTCTATTGCTTTAAAAAGTTTGAGGACCACTGTGAACCCTGAAGAGCCAGTCCCTCTAGATGAATCCTGAATGGCTACCTGAGCCTAAATTCAAATTAGAGTCAAGTGGTCATATGCTGACTAGAGGTCCCACACTTACTCAGAAAACTCATATGGCTGCCTAACTTTGCAACTTACATAACTTGCAAGGCAGCCTGTTCCTGTTTATACCACCTGAATCAACCAATAGACTGTGACCTATGTCAACCAATCAGAACTAAGCAAGTTTGAATCCTTCATTTACATAAGTGGACCTGAGTAGGAACCTGTGAAAGAACTTTATAAAAGATAAACTCTCCCTTTGTTCTCTGACCCACACCTTCATTTTACACTGAAGGTGTTTCTCCCTGATTTGCAAACAGGAATAAAGTTTCTTTTCTCTAAATTCCTTTTCAGAAAACTTTTGTTCACACCATTCATCCAGGCCACCATCTATATAAAGGTTCTCACATTCTAGAGAGCCTCTGTCCCCCCAGGGCTCTTATAATATTTTGTAAGTAATATTTCATGAGCAGCATGTGTGTTTTCTGAAGAATGCATTGGACATTTCAAACAGGGATTTGGCATTAAGGACCAACTATAGAGAAGTAAAGATGAGCATATAGCTATGGGAGAAATTTTTGGATTTGCTCAGAATAATTTCTGAGCACTGGGCTGGACGTGGTGGCTCATACCTGTAATCCCAGCGCTTTGGGAGACTGAGGCAGGAGGATAGCTTTAGCCCAGGAGTTTAAGGCCCAGCTGGGCAACAAACCTTGTCTCTACTAAATAAATTAAATAGCCAGATGTGGCAGTGTGTTCCTGTAGTCCCAGCTACTTGGGAGGTTGAGGTGGAAGGATTGCCTGAGCCCAGGAGATCAAGGCTGCAAAGAGTCATGATCACACCTCTGCACTCCAACCTGGGCAACAGAGTAAGGCCAGAGGTTCAGAAGGATTGCATTTTTTAAAAAGTTGTAGGTTTTAAATTTAAAATTATTTAAATTAATTTAGATTTAAGTTGTAAAGTAAACTATAATTAAATTAAATTCTAAATTAAAATTTTGTAGGTAAAAATGCAATCCTGTGCCCAGAATACTGTTTGACAGCAAACCTTGAGAGAACATTAGAGAAAATCATGCCTGGTACTGTGTCAGCACATAAAATGTTGGAGAAATGCTTTCATGTCCAAGACAGACAGTCTCTGACTCTCACCAGGTAACTTTTCTCTGCTTTTTTTTTTTTTTTTTTTTTTTTTTTTGAGTTGGAGCCTCATTCCATTACCCAGGTTGGAATGCAGTGACACGCTCACGGCCACCCCAGTGTCGACCTGCTGGCCTCTGGCTATTCTTCCGTCTCAGCCTTCCAAGTAGCCAGAACTACAGGCACGTGCAACCACATCCAGCTAATTTTTTACTTATTGTAGAGACTAGGTCTCATCAAATTGCCCGGGCTAGTCTCAAATCCATGGGCTCAGGCAATCCACTTGCCTCGGCCTCCCAAGGTGCTGGGATTATAGGCTGAAGCCACCGAGACTGGCCCCTCTTTTTTTTTTTCTGGTAACATTTGTATTGGTTTTTTTTTTTATTGCTTCTTCTTCACTTTCCTCTTCTTACAGATGAGGTAACTGAGCCTCTGGCACTGTCTAGAATGGGCAGAAATTCGCAGCCTGCATCCTGAACCACTACCTCAAAGACACCTCTCCTCGAAGCTGCCACTGGCCAACTGAGCAATAAGGACAATAGGACGGGCATCCTGGACCCAGGTGGGCACCCTGGGGGCCTCCTGGGTTGTCATTACCTGATCTTCTGAATGCGACAGTCCTTCCCACTCAGCACACTGCCCAGTAGCTCCATCACCGGGTCCTGGAACTGATTGGTGTCCAGCCTGGCCAAGGAGAGCCGTGACAGTGAGTGGTCCTGCCGCCCACAGGTAGGATGGGGGGCCCTGGCCCTGGGTTGGCTGCAGAGACATACTCTGCCTCTCTCCATCCCACTGCACACCACAGCTGCAGCTTAGAGACCTACGCTTAGCCCACAGTACTCAGACCTTGCCTACGAGAGTGAACTGGGGGCTTGGTGCCCGTGAGCCCTGTGGTTCCTACCGACAGGTGTGGGAGGGTTATGTGTCTTCCAAAAGCTGTAGGACACTGTTTGCTGGTTCCCTGCTTCTGAGGACATGGAAGCTGCTCTCAGGTTCTGAATGACCCTCAGCCTATGTCGTTTCTTCCCTGCTTGCCACAGATCCAGAGCTGCTAAGATCCAGAGCTGTGGATGGAGGACAGGCTGAGAGCAGAGTCAGTGGGTGCAGCTTCCATCAGCCCAGGATGGTTCAGAGGTGTTGAGAATTGAATTGTGTCCCCCCAAAAGATATGTTGAGTCCTAACCTCTGTTGCTCCAAGAGTGTAGCCTTACTTGGAAATAGGGTCGTTGTAGGTGTAGTGTGTTAAGATGAGGTCATGCTGAGTAGGTGGGCCTGAAATTCAGTGTGATGGTATTTTTTAACGAGAGTAGAGCACCATGTGAAGACAGAGCCATGCAAGGAGAAGATGGCCATGGGACATGGGGACAGAGATCGGAGTGGTGCAGCTACAAGCCAAGAAACACTAAGGGTTGCTGACAAATACCAGAAGCTAGAGAGGCAAGGAAGTCTTGTCTTCCTATGGGAGTCAGAGGGAGCATGGCCCTCCTTCCACCTTGATTTCAGAGTTGGGCCCTCCAGAACTGTGAGGAGACACATTTTTGTTGTTTGAAGCTATCAAGTTTGAGGCAAGTTTGAGGTCCCTTGTTACAGCAGCCCTAGGAGACTGATAGAGAGGGGCAGGTGGCAGGAAGGAGTCATCTGGGTCCTTCCCTCTTCTTTGCCCCCACCCTGACCCCCACCCTGGCACCCACCTAAGGCTCCGGCAGTAGAACAGCTGGGGCAGCAGGCTCTGGAGGACGCCCTGGCTGAGGCACAGGGACAGATTGGCGTCCTGGGCGCAGGCGTCAGACACCTGCAGGAGGTAGGCCAGGGCTGCGCAGTGTGAGGGGCCAGTCAGTCCAGCCAGGGTCCCACTCGCCATGGCCTCCTGCACACTGTGGGCCAGCTCCGTGTGCTGCAGCTCATGCAAGCAGTGCAGGACGTTGATGGCCCGGGCACAGACCACGGTGTCGGGGCGCAGGCAACCCTGCAGGAGCTCAGCCACGTAGGGCCGGTAGCCCTGGTGCTCGCCTTGGGCCAGCAGGGAGCCAGCCAGCAGGGCGTTGACCCTTGGAGACAAGAGGCCCGAGAGGAAGCGCAGGAACACGTCCAGTCTCCCATCCTCGGCCTGCATGGCCCGCTGGGCTGCGCTCCTGAAATGTGTGAGGAAGCCCAGCCTGGGCCAGGACATGCCACTCTCGGTGAAGAGGTCAAAGAATGCCCTCTTGGATGCGCTGTAGTAATACGCGGCTGCCACAAACTCCTGTAGGGAAAGGTGGGAGAAGCAGTAGGCCACCGAGGAGGACAGTGTCTCCTCCCGCTGCAAGAAGCAGCTGCACAGGGTGCCCTGAAGCAGAGCAAGATCCACGCCAAATGCCTTCATGTCTTGCTCGTAAAACACATACTTCTTCTTGACCAGTCCATGGAAGGCCAGTCGGCCCAGTGTCCCCACCATCTTGCGGCCGCCATGGGCCACCTGCTCAATGCGAGGGCTCACCTTGCCCCTCTCCTGTCCCTCCCCACCGAGAGCCATCCTGAAGTACCAAGAGTAGAGCTCACACAGGGTCCTTGGTGGCCACAGCTCTGCATCCTGGAGTCTTGACCTGCTGCGGCCCAAGTGGCCCAGCGCCAACCCTGTGAGCCTGCAGAAGGCTGGGATGGTGCACATCAGATACAGGGCCCTGTCAGCCTGCACCTGGCTCAGGACCCAGCCCAAGAGGGCCTGGTCCTCGGGGAACATCTGTTCCAAACACACCTTGATCTCCTCCTGGTTAAAACCCCGGATCTCAGTCATTCGGTCTACCAGACCCCCTGGGATCTGGCCAGCTGCGCTGGGACGGGAAGTGATCCACACAGAAACTTCCGGAAAGAGGTTGCCACGGATGATGTTGGTGATCAAGTGGTCTACCTGGATCTCCTTCTTGGGGTCTGTGCAGGCCACGGTGTTGGAGAAGTCCAGAGGCATCTTGCACTCGTCCAAGCCATCCAGAATCAGGAGGACCCTGGCTGGGGCTACCACTGCCAGGCTGGGCTCCCCGACATGTGGGAAGACAGAGCGGATGAGTCTGTCGGCACACAGTTTCTCATGGCTGTTGAGATCCCGGAAGGTCAAAGGCAACACCAGCGAGAAGTCCTTGCCAATCTGCCCTCGGGCCCAGAGGCGGACGAAGTGCCTTACCAGGGTGGTTTTGCCCATGCCGGCCACCCCGACGGTGATGGAGATGCGGGGCGGGATGGACACTCGGGAGAGAGGCAAGAAGAGCCTGTCCAGGGTGATGATCCTGGCAGGGAGCCAGCCCCCACGGGTGGCCTCCACCTGCGTGAAGTCGTGCTCCCTCAGCTGCAGGTCTGTCAGGCCCTCCACCAGCAGGAGGGTGGCCAGCCTGTGCAAGGGGCTGCCCAGCTCCGGGCCCCCTCCCACCCTACTCAGCAGAGCCTCGCGGTGCCTCTGTATCCTCGAGTCTGTGGGACAGAGGCCAGAGGGGCAGGCATATAAGGGAAGGGATGGGAGAGACGGCCCAGGTATCTCCCTCCATCTGCTTCCCTACGGGTCCTACCATTGCTGTGGGACTCTGGCAGGGAGTCCGGTGTCCTGTCAGGAGCTTGTAGGGCCTGGGAGCCCTGACTGCCCTTCCCAGCCAGCAGGTCCACGAGAGCTTTCACCTGCTCAGCTGGGGAGCCAGTGCTGTGTCCCTGGCCGGCCTCCCCACCTGTCCGCACCTCTTGCTTCCTCATGGAGTCTGGGAGCTGTGGAGAGAGGGCCCAAGCCTGCTACTTGCTGTGCGCCCATCCAGTAGCCTGGGATGGGTAAATGAGCCCCCAGGGATGGGACCCAGGAACCTCCCTTCCTCTATCCCCAGCCTTTGGGAGACCCACTGGCCTGGCCTCCGAGAGAGGACTGGAAGGGTTATTTGTTCTGGGATGGTGAGAATAATCACACAGACGCAGGGGCCAGGTGGGTAAGAACTGGAGCTCTGGGTCTGCATCCCAGTTCTGCCTCTTACCAGCTGGTTGACCCTGGGCAGGCTGTGTCACCTTTCTGCACCTTGGCGTCTTCATTTGCGACCTGGGAATAGTGATGAGACTAAGAGAAGGTTCATCCAAAAGGAGGGAGGAATGAAAGAAGCCAGCTGGGAGGCTTTGCTGCATGATTCCAACTAACATTCTGGAAAAGGCAAAGATATGGAGACAGAAAAAACATCAGTGGGGTCCCGGGGCTGGGGAGGAGGGTGCATTGGTGGAAGCACAGAAGATTCTCAGGGCAGTGACACTACACTGTAGGATACTACGATGATGGATCCATGTTGTTATACGTTTGTCCAAGCCCACAGAACGTGTAGCACCAAGAGTGACCCCAAATGTAAACTATGGGCTGTGGGTGACAGTGTCGGGTCGGCGTAGGTTTGTCAACTGGACCACTGGGGGGGGGGATGTTGACAGCGGCAAGTCGTGGGGACAGACAGGCTGGAGTGTGTGCAAAGTCTCTGTGCTTTCTCATCCATTTTCCTGTACACCTAAAACTGCTCTAAAAAGTGGCTTATTAATTAAAAAAGAAAAGAACAAAAAGGAGTCAGAAGAGAAGGAAAGCTGGTTCTCAGAGCAGCTGTGCAGCTGCTTGTCTTACTATTTTCCTGGGGTCACAGTCAGCACTGTTTACTGCTGGGGATGGTAATGCAGAGATGCTACAGCCAAAGCCACACCTGAGGCCCACCCACTCACATTCCTCTGCCTCCTTGTTGAGACTGGTCACCCCCCTCTGTAGCCCGCCCACAGGCAAGGGGATGCTGAAGACCCCGCGCTCACCCCCACTCTCCTCCCCTCCTCACCAGGTGCACAGGCCACAGCAGCCCCTCCAGCAGGGCCCCAGGAACTCAGGGGATGCAAGGCAGCCCGTCGTCACCCACAATTCTAGGAGAGAAAACACAATGTGGCCAACAGAGACCATGGCCCCGTGCTGCTGACGGCAGCCCTGCCTTCAGAAATGACCCAGGTCAGGCCTGTACTGTCTACCCAGTGGTTCTCAATGTCCACTCAATGTTTAACCTAAGAAGAGCTCGCTGTCTACACCGTGGAATTCAGCAGATTCCCTGACCTTGGATTTGCATTGCGGATCACGGCATTTTAACTCAGCGTGAACTTTTTTACCTGAAAAATGCTAAAAGAGGTCAGAAGAACAATGAATTCAAGGTAGATGGCATCCAGACGTGGCTGAAATCACCTGGGAATATTAGGAACAGTCCAGGGCAAGGCCTATCTCCTTATGCTGCTTCAAATACTGCCGGCATTTCTCACTCTTTTGTTCTTCTAAATGTCAAAGCCAAGGAGAGAAAAAAGATGGGATTTTGATTGGGGTTGCCTTATGTGTTTGAACTCATGTGGGTAATTGGAAGTCTTTCTTTTTCTTTTTTTTTTTTTTAAGTGAGAAAGCAGGATTTATTGAGAGGACAGAAAAGCTCCCACAGTAGGAGGGGACCCGAAGGGGTTGCCCGGAGGTCTTTCTTTAAATCCTTTGGTGAAACTTTGTTTTTTTCATCTATATCTTGCCATTTCTTTTTTTGTTTGTTTGTTTTTTGTTTAGTTTTTTTTTTTGAGTTAGAGTTTCGCTCTGTCGCCCAGACTGGAGTGTAGTGGCCGCTCCCGGCCACCGCAGCCTCGACCTGCTGGGATCCAGCAATCCTTCCACCTCAGCCTTCCAAGTAGCTGGAACTACAGGAGCGCGCTACCATGCCCGGCTAATTTTTTGATTTATTGTAGAGATGAGGTCTCGCCAAGTTGCCCAGGCGGGTCTCGAACCCGCGGGCTCAGACAAGCCACTCAACTCAGCCTCCCAAAGGTTTTTTTTTTTTGAATTGGAGTCTCACTTTGTTGCTCAGGCTGGAGTGCAGTGGCACACTCACGGCCACCCAGTGTCCACAGGCTGGCTCCAGCTTCCACCTCAGTCTTCCAAGTAGCCGGAACTACACCCGCCTAATTTTTGATTTATTGTAGAGACGAGGTCTCACCAAGTTGCCCAGGCTGGTCTCAAACCCGTGGACTAAGGCCATCCACTTGTCTCGGCCTCCCAAAGTGCTGGGATTACAGGCTTAGCCACCAAGCCCGGCCAATTCTCATCATTTTTCAGTTCATTTTCTTTGGGCTTTCAAATTACTTCAGTAAGAACAATTTTATCTCTTCATTTCTAAAGTTATTACTACTTCTAATTTTTAATTTTTTTAATTTTAAAATAATTTAAAAGACAGGGTCTTGGTATGTTGCTCAGGCTGGTCTTGGACTCTTGGCCTCAAATAATTCTCCCACTTCAGCCCCTGAAGTTCTGGGATTACAGGCATGAGCCATTGTACCTGGCCTATGGCTCTTATTTTTAACAATTTTTACTACATCGGCCAGGCCCATCCCTTCCGGAGCAATGCTGAATGACAGCAGTCATAGCCAGCATTTTTGTCTTAGTCCAGACTGGATAAGGAGTGATTCTTGTTCAAATTGTTAGGTGGGATGTTTGTGACAGAGTTCTAGTTAGTCTTCTCCATCTGGAGAAGAGTCCTTGTTTTCTATTACCATTTAAATAATATAATATAATGTAATATTTATTGAAGGTAGACTGTGTTCTATACATTCTGTTAAACACTGTGCGTAGTGGCTCACACCTATAATCCCAGCACTTTGGGAGGCTGGGGCAGGAGGATTACTTGAGCCTATTAGTTTGAGACCAGCCTAGGCAACATAGTGAGACCTCATCTATACATTAATTTTTTAAAAATAGCTGAGTGTACTGATGTGTATCTATAATCCCAGCTATTCAGGGGGCTGAAGCAGAAGGGTCACTTAAGCCCAGAAGCTTGAGGCTGTGATGAACTGTATCATGATACTGCACTCCAGCCTGGGTGACAGAGTGAGACCTCCAACTCTAAATAAATAGATAGGTAGGTAAGGAGGTAGATAGATAGATAGATATTCTGTTAAGCACTACTTACATCATTTAGTTTATTTCTCATAACTCTCAACACCGTTCTCATAACTCTCAATGCCATTATTTTTCCCATTTTGAGACTCAGAGAGGTTAAGTGACTTGTCCAAGGATACACAGCTGGGAAGTGTCAGAGTTGAGATAGTCATGAAAACCTTACTGACACCACTGCTTGTGCCATATAATCTACGGCCTTTTATGGTAGGTTTACACATTTTTTTTAAAAAGTAGGGATGTCTATTAAATTAGCAAATGACTTTTTAGCACATATTGATATAACCATATGATTTCTTTCCATTCACTTATTCAACCAGCAAATATTTACTGAGGGCCTTCTATGTGTTCTGGGCACTGGAGATGTGAAGGTGAATAAGCAAACAAAGTTGTCCTTATCCAGTGAGTGCAGAGGGTGGAGGGGTCGGGGATAATGACTATAAGAAGAAAGCAAGTAAATAAACTAGGAAATTTTTACTGATGATTAATGCTGTGAATGACATAAACAGTGTGAGTGACAAAGAGGCCTGACAGTCCAGGAGGAGGGGGAATCCCTTAATCACAGTGGCCAGGGAAGGCCTCTGAGAGGCCTCTATGAGAAAGCTACACAGGAGCAGAAAAGAGTGAGAGTCATGCAGAGAACTAGGGGAAGAGCCTTTCAGGCAAACAGCAAGTGCAAACACTTTGCATATTAGAGGAAGAGAAAAAGACCAGAGTTGCGGGAGCACAGTGAGTGAGTCAGTGGACCCAACCTCGGGCTGGAAGACCCAGCCACTGTTGTAAGGAGTTTGGATTTGTTCTAAGTGTGGTGAGAAGTGACATGAGCAATATCTATCAAATCTCTCCTGTAATCTGTGAGCTACACTAATGGATTTTCTACTATTGAACCAACCTTGCATTCTAGAATATAATCTTCCATTTGTATTATAAATAGAATATATATATTCCATATATATGCATATATATAAAACAGTATGGGGTAGTACAAGACTAGATATATAATAGAACAAAATATAGAGTCTAGGAACAAATACATATTTATGTTATCTACATATAAAGGAGTTTGGTAATGTGACAAAAATAGTATTTCAAATCAGTGGAAATGGGGTTGGAGCAATTGACCAACCTGTGAAAAAAATTTTTCAAGCTTTACTTCACACTAAACACAAAATTTGATTTTAGGTGGATGACAAAATAATTAAAATTTTAAACACAAAACCACAAAAGCACCATAGGAAAATATGAGAGAATATTTTATTTTATTTTTTATTTTTTATTTTTTGAGTTGGAGTCTTACTCTGTCATGCTGGCTGGAGTGCAGTGGCACGCTTATGGCCACTGCAGCCTGGACGTGCTGGGCTTAGGTGATCTTTCCACCTCAGCCTTCCAAGTAGCTGGAACTACAGGCGCATGCTACCACGCCCAGCTTATTTTTTTATTTTTTATTTTTATTTTTTATTTATTTATTTTTTGAGTTGTAGTCTCACTCTGTCACCCAGACTGGGGTGCAGTGGCCGCTCCCGGCCACCGCAGCCTCGACCTGCTGGGGTCCGCTGATCCTTCCGCCTCAGCCTTCTGAGTAGCCGGAATTGCAGGCATGCCCTATCATATCCGGCTGATTTTTTGACTTATTGTAGAGATGAGGTCTCACCAAGTTGCCCAGGCGGGTCTCGAACCAGCGGGTTCAGGCAATCTACTCACCTCAGCCTCCCAAAGCGCAGGATTACAGGCTGAGCCACCGAGCCCAGCTTATTTTTTTATTTATTGTAGAGACGAGGTCTCA